CGCTACGAGAACATGATACCCATTTTCAGGTGAGTAAACGGAGACACCGAGAGGTCAGTAAGCAGCCGAAGGTCAGAAGGGGGATGGGCAGGAGTGGCAGCGAGCCCTGGCAGCTCCACTCCAAATAGCTGCACTCCTGCCCCATCGTTCTAGCATTTTCCCTGCTCTCCCCGTAAGGATGGGGGACCGAAAATGTCCCCATCAGTCGCCCTTCCAGAAGCCCAGGCAGGCTCTCTCCACTCCAAGTCTGCGTTCTGTCGTCATTCTCTTTGGTGACGGGCGGGGACGGCGGGGCTGGTCCAAACAAACGCTGGCTTGGAGTCGAAATCCCGGTTTCCCGGGACTACCGCCTGGATAACCCGGCTGCGTCCGAAACCCCGGAAGGATCCACGGACTGAATCTGGGGACTAGGAACGGCAGGCGCCGTTTGCCTTAAAAAAAAAAAAAAAAAAAGTGAACATTTTTGCTGCCATCTCCAGGACACCGGAGTCCCCGCCCCGCACCTGAGCCCCCTGCGGATGTCACGCTGGGGTGGACCGCGCCCAGATTTGGTCCCTTCTGGAGCAGGACACGCGGACTCCGGGTCCTCTCTGCCAGCCGCCGCCAGAGGGCGCACGGTGGAGACGTGTCTCGGAAATGGCCGCTCTCCCTCCCTCCGTCGCCAGTGAGCACCGGGTCCTTTCCACATCGACAGGTGGGGTCTTTCCCCCCTCCGTTTGAATTTGAGCTGGCTTTTTGACTCGGTTTCACCGTGATGTCAAGTCCCACCCAGTCACTCCTTTCTCCAAACCCTCTGATGTTTTCCTAGATCACTAAAGGCCAAAGCAAAAGTCCTCATGATGGTTATACACGCTCCGTCCAACACCGCAGGGCAATCGGGACAATTTAAAATTAAATTGAAATGATTGGATTGGTTAAATGTAAGATTGAACATCCATTTCCTCAGCCATATCAGTCACATTACAGGTGCTCAATGGCCACATGGGTGGGAGGGGGGGCTGGTTACCATGCCAGTGCAAGTATACGATTGTCCACCAATATGGAAACTGCTCTTGGACAGCACTGGTCGGCTTCTCTGTCCCCATAGATCTGCCTCACTGCCCACCATTCTCCCATGGCTTCAGACACCCCGAACTCCTCGCGGTTCAAGGAACACCGGGGGCCTAGTCATGCCACAGGACCTTTGCACTAGCTGTTCCCCCTGGCCTGGAGTGCCGTTCCCCAGGATATTTGCACAGCTCCATCCTTCTCTTCATTCCAGCCTTTGTTCAAGTGCCGCAGTCCCAGGGAGGGCTTCCCCGGGCCACCCCGCTACAAATGTAACCCTTGACTCACGCCCACTTTCTCAGAGCTCAGAGCCACCTGCCACACTAACGTGTTTCCGGATGACCACTGACTGTATTTGTCGGGGGCGGGGGTGGTAGAGCGAATGGGTGACCCGGGTGTCGCGGGCCAACGTGCAGAAAGGGAAGGGCAGGTGGCCCAGAGATGAGCGGAGAGGGAGGCAGGCGCCCCGGGGAGGCACTGCCGCTGCCCGGAGCCCAGGTCGCCGCGCTGGAGGTTCCACCAAGCAGCAGACTTCCCCGAGGGGGGACCCAGGCGCCCCGAGGACACCGAGCGGAGCGCGGCCGCCCCCGGAGGAGGAGGGAGGGGCGGTGGGGGCCGCGCGCGACCCGGAGCCAGGCCCGGTGCTCTGCGCAGGCGCGGGGCCCGGGGGACGCCGGCAGTGCAGACCCTCGCGGAGCGTCGCGGGCCCGGGGACGGACGAGACGCTCCCGGAGAAGCGCGCGCGGAAGCCCGAGCCCGGGTGTCGTCCCTGGGGGCCTCCCGTGTGCCCACGGGCCCCGCCGCGGCCGGTACCCCCCATGCTCTGTGTCCCCGTGGGGTCCGCGGGGCGACGACGTTTGGGTTGTCGTGTGCGGCTTTACTGGATTCTGCGCACAGAACAGGGTTGGGGGGATCGGACGAAGGCAGGTGTTCACTGCCATTTCCCAGATGAGGAAAGTGAGGCTCGGGGGTGGGGGCAGGGAGCTCGAACCCGGATTGGTCCTACTCCGGGGCTCCTCGCGTAACCGCCGAACCGTCCCAGACCGTGTGGCCGCGGCGCCCCTTCACCCCACCCCCTACCCAACCTCGCCCCGCACGCTCGGGCCGAACCTGTCCGCCCCCTCGGCCAGCTCGGGTTCCGACACTCCCGGGAATGGGGTCGGGTCCCACCCAGATCTTCTAGAGGGAGGATCGAGGGCTCCGGGGCCAGCAGCCGCGCCCCCTGCCCACCCCCGCCCCCACTCGCGGGAGCGGAGGAGGCGGCACGGGCCGCGGCTCCCGCGTTGCCCGCCAGGGGGCGCCCCAGGACCGCGCGGCGCGGGCTCCTCCCGAAGGCGCCCGAGGCTGCAGCCGCTGGCCCAGGACCTTAAAGCGCCAGAGCTCCACGTGGCCTTTGAACGTCAGGCTGCGGAAAGGGGTCATTTCCGTAGGGCAGCGGCCCTTCAGGCGACGCCCCGAGGCCGGCAGCTTGAGCACCCGCTGGAGCTAGAGAGAAATGCGTATTCTGGAGCCCACCCCGGACGACAGGACTCACCTGGGGTTGGGATCTGGCAGTCTGTGCCTTAGAAGGCCTTCCAGAGGATTCTGATACGCGACCAGCTTGAGACGGGTCTGCTGATCTCCCAGGGCCCTGGGGTATCAGTTCGCAGTCCCGGAAGCGCCCTGGAATCACCTGGAAACCTTAGGACTCTGGGACACACACCCCCAACTCCCGCCCCCGCACTAGTTCCAGGAGCATCTCTGAGAGCGCAGGCTGGGTGGGGGTTTTTGAAAGCTCCCGGGTCCTTCCACACAGCAGCCAGGATGGGGAGCCACTGTCCCAGGGACCCCCCCCCCCCGAAGGCTGAGATATCTGATGAGGAACTGGCCACCTCTGATGTATAACAGGAACACGACAGATGGTGTCTGGGGGGGTGATTTGAATCCCAACACATTACCTCTCCTCCCGCCTTCTCAGCAGCCCTGGGAGGAACGCTCTGTATCTATAAAGATCCCCCTTTCCGATGGGTAAATACAGGCACAGAGAGGTTAAGAAACCAGCCAAGGTTGCATGTAAGGGGAGGTGCTAGGGGTGAGCCAGGCTCCAAATCCCTCCTTACTGTGTCCCCCTGATGGCTTCCTCCTGCCATGTCACACCGCGTGTTGCAGGGTGACACCTCGGTCGTGGTGTTCCATTATTTTTCCCTTTGGTGACATCTAGGGGTGGCCGGCACGTCCAGACAAAGCTTTGTCTGGAGACAAAATTCCAGTTTTCCCTCCGGGAAAATCCTGGTACGTGTGAAGCCACGGTCCTGGAGGCATCAGTGGGCTGCATTCGGGGACTGGGCCCTTCAAGCACTAAATGAAACCCCCTTGGATTAAAAACAGTATTGGGGCGCCTGGAGGGTTCAGTTGGTTAAGCGTCGGAATCTTGATTTCGGCTCAGGTCGCAATTTGAGCCCCGTGTTGGGCTTAGCACTGACGGCATGGAGCCTGCTTGGGATTCCGTCTCCCTCTCTCTCTAACCCCTCCCCTTTGTGCGCGCGCGCTCTCTCTCTCTCAATAAATAAACCTAAGAAAATAGTTTAAAACCCCTGGTACAATTGCAGGTAACCCCAGGGGCCTCAGCTTCCTGGGCCTTGATGTAACCCCGTGTTCCAGGCATGGGGACACAAGGGACAAACTGAGAATTGGTGGGTGTTCAGGTTTGTTCCAAATCTCTGAGTCTCTCTTGGTGTCTCTCGCCATCTCTGCTCCCGCCTTCTGGGGTCACCTTCCAGCAACCCAAGCAGGCCGGTCCCCCCGTGGCCACCTGCCATCTGGATGCCGGAAGGCTGGGCACTCCCGAGATGTCCCGCTCCAGCTGGGTTATTCCCTCACCCCCCAGCCACACACCCCCCACCCCCATGGGGTCCACACCGTGTCTTTCTTCCAAACCTCACTGGGGCTCTTCCTTACCAGGTTATGAGCCTTGAACTATACCAAGTACAAAGGGCCTCTTAGCATCATAGGGAAGCAATACCAGCACCGACTACTTCCGGGGCGGGAGCAGGTGACACGGGTCCTTCTTTAGTTCCAAAGGGGAAGAAAAAAAAAAAGAACTCAGAAGCTCAGGCCAGGACCACAGCCACAGTCAGGACAGCACTGGCCTTGAGGCCTTCCTGCTCCGTGATTTCCCTTCCCTCCGGCCTTCAGCTGGGCTGGGGTGTGGCTGTTTGCGGTTTCTCACTGGGGGAGTTGGGGTTTGGGGGACACAGAGAGATGTCACCCAGTGCCCACCGGGCCTTAGCAACCCTATCTCTCCCCAGTTATAAACTCTGGTCCCAGCACACTGCACGCTACCCCACAATCCTGCTTTTTGGGCTGTTTCTATTACAAAGAGGTTTTTTTTTTTTAACATTAATTCATTTTTCAGAGAGTGTGAGCAGGGAAGGGGCAGAGAGGGGGGGAGGGGGAGACAGAATCTAAAGCAGGCTCCAGGCTCCAAGCTGTCAGCACAGAGCCTGATGTGGGGCTCGAACCCACGAACCTTGATCGCAATGGCGATCTGAGCTGAAGTGGGACGCTCAACTGACTGAGCCACCCAGACACCCCGCAAAGAGTTTTCAATGTGGCCTGTGATGAATCTGCCTCTGGGGATGTTTGTGGGGCTTGATGGAACCAGGTTCCTGGGCCGCCCGGTCAGCTCCGGCAAATCCACGGCTCTGGCGTGAAGGGCCCCAGGATCTGAATTGTGGACACGTCTCCTTTCTTCTCTACCTTGTAACCGGGGTCAGGTGAAAGGTGGAAGCTGCAAGCCCTGAGCCAAAACCCAAGGGGCATGGGCGGGGGGGGGAGGGGGTGGCCAGCAAAGCGACATAAACACAGGTCACCACCTTGGAAGGTGGGCCTGGAGAGGACACAGGGAGTGAGTGACAAGATCACCGTGGAGCATTCCTCAATGGCCAATTCCTCAAAGTCCAAAGCCAGGAAAAATCGCTTCGTAAACATTTTTATTTGCATGCTGGCTTGCGCCCACTTTTTAAGTTCAAGGAGGCGGTCAATACTAAGTGTGCAGGTGGGAAGGAGAAGGGAAAGGCGGAGGGGAGGGGGCTTCTCCTTGCCTTTCCCCTTGTTTCAAGATGAGCGCCTAGAGCTGCATAGGAGGAAATTCAGATCGTGAGTGATGTAACCCATCCCTGCGGGTCTCTTTACATTCCTTGGGTGTCTAGAAAGAGTCTGTATTTTTTTTTTTAAGTCAATGCATGAAAGACAACATTTTAACAAGAAAGAGGGGGACTAGTGGAGGTGGGAGGCCCATTGCCAGGCCCTTGCTTCACCTCCATTTTCAAGTTCAGAGGCAGGAAGAGCGTCTCCATCCAAGGGTGGGAGACGGAGGACCGCGCCCTGAGGGGCTGATAGCGTGGTGGCCGCTGGTGGCGGCCGCTGGTGGCGTGCTCCAGGCCACCGCTGCCTTCGCCTCACAGCTGGTCTTCCCGTTCTCCCTGCTCTGCTTCTGCTCTGGCCTCTGCCCTCAACACCCTAAGGCTCCTGGCCTCACCTGCCCGGGGGACTCTCTTGGGCAGGGTGGGCAAGCGGGGCGTGTGCCAGAAGGCCCTCTGGCGCTTGCGAAACCACGCAAAGCGTCCAGGGGTCTGGAACCTCACTGTCTTGACCTGTTTCCGGGCCCTAGTTCCCTGCGTTGCCCCTGCGGCCACCCGGGCAGCTGTGGCTTCAGCCTCCTGGACGACTGGGGCCTCTGCCCTCTGATTATCTGCAGCCCCTTCCCTCTGATTATCTACAGCCTCTGCCCTCTGGACAGCTATGGCTTCTGCCCCTCGATTATCTTCAGCCTCTGCTTCCTGAACAGGTATGGCCTCTGCCCTCTGATTAGCTATAGCCTCTACCCTCTGATCATCTGCAGCCTCAGGCCTCTGATCATCTGCAGCCTCTGCTCTCTGATCATCTGCAGCCTCTACCCTCTGATCATCTGCAGCCTCTGCTCTCTGATCATCTGCAGCCTCTGCTCTCTGATCATCTGCAGCCTCTGCTCTCTGATTATCTGCAGCCTCTGCCACCTGAATTGTGGATGCTGCTCCCTCCCTCCTGCGACGGCGGAAAGAGGCCCAGTTGATCTTGGGCCTCCATCGTCTAGGGGGAGTCTCAGGCACCTGGCCGCCCCCTGCGTGCCCCACATTATCCCCCCGGCTGGCTCTGCCTGGCTCCCGTGGCCCCTCCCTCTCCACCCCTGCGGAGGCCTGCCGGGCCTCGCCCACCTCGGACCTCGGCGCCCAACCCCTCACCCTCCGCTTCAGCTTCCCCCAGGACACCTGGCTGACGTACTCTCGCCACCTGTCCGCCTTCGACAGCTGCGGCCCGGGGTTGTCCTCAAACACGGGCACCGGCAGGGTCACGCGGCGGCGGGCGGGTGGCGCGCCGGGCGGCTTTGCCCCCCGCTGCAGGAAGGCCTCCACCACTTCCTCGTCGTCCTCGCTCTCCAGGTCGCTCCCCAGAAACTTGCTGCCCAGGTAGCTGACGGGCATCTTGCGCACCCTCCTGCCGCGCCCCGGGCCTCTGCGACCCTTGTCGCCCCTGTCGCCGGAGGTCTCGAAGTCACTGAACTCGCTGTCGCTGGCGTTGCTGCTGTCGTAGGTGCCCACGACCAGCCGCGGGGGAGGGCTCGCCATCTGCTGGACTCGCCTCCTCACGCGGGGCTCCTTGGGCTTTTTGGGGGGCTGGGGCGGGTGTGGGGTGCTCTTCTCGATGATGCGGGCCACGTCCTCCAGCGTGCGGCCTTCTTCCTCCAGAAACTGGGTCAGCCGCTCGCGAAATTCCGCCTCCTTGGTGGCGGGCTTGGAGATGACCCTCCACACGCCCCCGGCCAGCCTGACCTCCCGCGGGATGAGCAAATAGTCGACGTCCTCCCCGATCTGCAGCATCCCCACCGTGGAGTCCTCCTCCCTGCGGAACACCTTGCCGATCTTCTTAAAGGTCCCCACGGGTCTCAGGGCTTCCACCAGGACGTCCAGGTCCACATCTTTGCAGACATCTGGGACGCTCCAGAGGATCAGACAGTCAGGCGACGGGAGGAAGCCCCAGGGGAACCAGCCCCCCACGTGGCTTTTCTCGAGGGTCTTTAAGATCTCCAGGGTGAAAGCCGGGGTGGGGGCAGCGACCCCAAGCTACAAGCAGGCCTGGGTCTTGGGCGCGGGGTCCCGGCCGAACTGCCCGGAGGGTCTCACCTCTCCGGCCAAGGTTGCGCCAACCCCTCCCAACTTCTCTGCGGCGGGAAATCAAGTGCAGCCTTGGCCAAGTCCGGCTCCCCACCAAGGACTGGCGGGACTCAACCCCCCGAGATGCTTACGTGAGCCGGGAGGAAGGGGGTCAGTCCTGAGGCTCAACGCCCACCGCCAGCTGTAGACGCGGTGTCCGGCTCCAAGTCGGGGCGCACGGGCTGCCCCGTGGCTCTTCCTGCCTCGGGGACTCGCCTGCAGCTTGGGAGAGGACTTCGCAGACAAAGACGACTCGGTCGTGGCTATTCAATATGGCCGAGGCGCTCGGAGGCCGCAGCCCAGCCCCCCCCCCCCCCGGGAGGGTCTCCCGCCCCCAGGCAGGCAGCCACCCCCGCGCAGGCTGACCTTGACGCGCCAGCAGCCTCCCAGCCCGAGGAGCGGGAGCGCGGGCAGGAAGTTCCTGCTCGCCCTCCCCGAGGGTGAGGCCCACCTTCCCCCTTCTCATCTTACACTCCCCGACTCGGGAAGACTGACAGGGGGGCTGTCCACTCCCTTCGGGGCGCCCTCTCTCCCCTCCCGCACAGGGGTGTGGCCGCGCTGCGGGCCTCACTGGGGCCCGTCGCTTCCCAGCCGAAGGCGCGCCGAGGCCCACGTCAGCACCTTTCCCCAGAAAGGCGGCAGTCCCCAAACCTGCCATCCTAAACGTGCGGGTTCCAGCCAAGCCCTGGAAGGGGGTGCGCTCACGGGGCAGTCGTTTTGAGGGCCGCTGGCTGTGGATGTGGCCATTTCGCAGCATGTGACCTTTGGTACCTGCGCTCCTTACCTGCGTAACCGTGCTCGTTGGTGGAGACATTGGTACCAGGGCCTTACTGCCCCAGCCTCTAGCGTGGGACTCTGCACACAGTAGGTGCTCAATAAAGATTTTCGCGTGAATGAATGGATCTAAGTGTTCATCAGGAGGGCCTGGCTCAGTTGTAGTTTCTCCGGGTGAAATACCATGCAGCCATGTAAAGAGAAGTGCCTAGTGCAAGGACGGGTAATCAGGTTTTATGGAGCACCTTCGTACATCCCAGGTACCACTGCAGCTGCCTTTTACCAATTAACTCATGACATCCTCGCATTAGGATACAGGCAGTATCAGGAGGATTCTCATTTTACAGCTGAGGATGAAAGATCACTTGCTCCGGGTCTCACCACCGGAAGTGATGGAATCTAGCTTTGAATCCAAAACAGTCAGGTGGGGGGGGGGTAGGGCTTAGGTGTGTGCATGTACTTTTCACAGGTGCAAACACTGCCAGGGGCGCCTGGGTGGCTCAGTCGGTTGGGCTTCCGACTTTGGCTCAGGTCATGATGTCACAGGTGTGAGTTTGAGCCCTGCATCGGGCTCTGTGCTGATGGCTCAGAGCCGGGAGCCTGCTTCCATTGCTGTGTCCCCCTCTCTCTGCCCCTCTCCTGCCCTCCCTCTGTCTCAAAAATAAATAATCATTTAAAAAAATTTTTGAAAATATCACTGCCAACAGTGCCTGTTTCTGGAGAGGGAGACTGGGGATCGGAGACGTGTACTTTTTACTCTAGATCTTGCTTGGATTACTGCTTGGATTTTTAGCAGTCAAAAATGTTAACTAAGTAACTTAAATTAGATCAAGGGTCCTCAGACTCAGCAGCAGACATAGTGGGTCAGGATCCCTGGAATGTGGGCCCCAGGATGTGCAAAGCTTCCCAGAGAACTCTGAGGCAGCTGGCCCAGCGACAGTATTCGCCAGGGTGGCATTGGGAACAGTATCAGTTAGCTGGGTGGAGTTTCCTTAGAAGCAGGCACCCTGCTGCAGCCTGAATGGGCCCAGAATGAATTCTCAGAGCTACGAGGCCAGGTGGACCCTTGGGAACAGCTTCTTGCTTCCCCCTCACCGCCTGCAATCCACCCCAAACTAGCAGCTGGAGGAGTCTGTTAAAAACTTAAGGCAGAGTTGTGTCTATTCTTTCAAAAATGCTCCATCTTACTCAGAGTAAAATCAAAGCCCTCACCACCATCCACAAAGCCCTACCACAGCCCACACCTCCTCCACTTTTCTCTTCCTCTCCTCCTCACTGACCCCATCCACTCCAGCCACCCCTGCCTCTTTGCTGTTCATCAAAGACACCAGCCTCAGTTCTACCCCAGGGCCTTTGCACTTGCTGTTCCCAATGCCCAGGATGTTATGGCCCCACCTTCTCTTGGCAATCTCCCTCTGCTCAAGGGTCACTTTCTTTCTTTCTTTCTTTCTTTCTTTCTTTCTTTCTTTCTTTCTTTCTTTCTTTCTTTCTTTCTTTCTTTCTTTCTTTTTGAGAGGCCATTCTACACTCCCCTCCCCCTGCCAAATATAGGAGTGGTGTCTACCCTCTCCAGGGTCCTCTATCTCAGGAATCCTTGGTCCTTTTCTAAGTGCTATGGGTCCCTTTTCAAGATAAAGCTTTTCGGTGCATGGAATTGCATTCACTGGGACACCTGGATGACTCAGTTGGTTAAGATCCGACTTTGGCTCAGGTCATAATCTTCTGGTTGGTGAGATTGAGCCCCGTGTCAGGCTCTGTGCTGACAGCTCAGAGCCTGGAGCCGGCTTCAGATTCTGTGTCTCCTGCTCTCTCTGCCCCTCCCCCATTCACACTCTGTATCTCTCTTGAAAATAAAGATTACAAAAATTAAGAAAAAAGAATGCATTCACTGGGTTACAAAGTAAACCAAGTATAATGAAACATGCAATCCGTTTAAAAAGAAACATGTCAGCAACAGTAAAAAAATAATAAAACCCTGTGAAATGACTTAAATACAAAGTATAAAAATGAACACATGTAATTAAAATTTTTTTAACATTTCTTTTTTTTTTTGAGAGAGACAGAGAGAGAGAGAGAAAGTGGGGGAGGGGCAGAGAGAAGGAGACAGAGGATCCAAAGCAGACTCGGAGCTGTGAGCACAGGCCCCAGTGTGGGGTTCGAATCCACAAACCGTGAAATCATGATCTGAGCGGACATCAAGAGTCGGCTGCCTAACCGACTGAGCCACCCAAGCGCCCCATGAATACACGTGATTTTATTTAACTCACGACGTGGGATTGTATTTAATTCTTGAAGGAACCAGGAAGATGTGTAGAGAAAGAGGGAAGGGGAGGGAGGGAAGATGCTTGACGGGTGGGGGTTGGTGAAGATCTCCGCGAGGCCTTTGCACAATTTATTGGCTCATTCGCGTAGCTGCCTTTGCAGAGCAAGGTCTTTAGGGCTTTGCTGGATTTTCTCCCTCACACGAGCTCCATCCCAGCCTGCGCGCGCAGCCCCCGCCCGGCCTCGCCCCGCCCCGCCCCTCCCTGGTGCACGGCTTGGAGCCTCGGCTGCGGTCTCCATGGCAACGAGGAGACGCGCTCTGCTTCGCCCCTCGGTCCTGGGAGGGGAGGGCCGGGGGCGGGGCAGCGCCTTTTCTAGGCTGCTTCCCCTTTCTCCAGGCCCGATCCCCCAATCGGCTTCCCGGAAAAGCCACCTGAAACGAAGAAGCCCTAGGTTCCCCGTCTGAGAAATACTGGTTTCAGAATCCTAGTCCGAAAAGTCAAGACTTCTAAGCAGAATGACCTCGCACCTGAGGCATTTGGTTTCTGTAATTGGTGAAAAGTTTGCGTGGAGGGGGCGTGGGGCGAGGGGAGGGTTATCCTAGAAATGAAATCCGCAAATGGCCAACATTCTTACAAAAATACCAACCCTAGGGCGCCCGGGTGGCTCAGTCCGTTAAGCATCCAACTTCGGCTCAGGTCATGATCTCACTGTTAGCGTGTTCAAGCACCACTTTGGGCTCTGTGCTGACAGCTCAGAGCCTGGAGCCTGCTTTGGATTCTGTGTCTCCCTCTCTCTTTCTCTGCCCCTCCCCCGCTCGGATTCTGTCTGTTTCTCTCTCTCAAAAATAAATAAACATTTAAAAAAATTTTTTTTAAGTTGTCAACCCTGAGCAGTTCCACTGTGGGTATGTTAGATCACCAGGTCTCTGGCAGCAGAGAGCCTTCTTCAGCCACCGCCGAAGAAACAAAGAAACGGATAATTAGAGCTCCCACATTGATACTTGTTTAAAAGAAATGGAAAATTCAAAAAGAATGGGGGAAGCGAAACATGGCCCAAATCTCTCTCCCTGACACTTGGTTGCCACTTTAAGGAATAATATTTAAATGACACAGATGCATTAAGAAAATGAAGTTACAGAGGGGCACCTGGGTGGCTCAGTTGGTTGAGTGTCTGACTCTTGATTTTGGCTCAGGTCATGATTTCATGATTCATTGGATCGATCCCCGCACTGGGCTCTGTGCTGACAGTGCAGAACCTGCTTGGGATTTTCTCTCTCTCTCTCTCTCTCCCTCTCTGTTCCTCTCCTATTATCATCCCTCCCTCCCTCTCTCTCTCTCAAAAACAAATAAGTAACCTTTAGAAAGAAAGAAAGAAAGAAAGAAAGAAAGAAAGAAAGAAAGAAAGAAAGAGAAAATGAAGTAGTTACAGAAAGGTATAAAATGAAAAACAAGTCTCTCTCTCCCAGCCTCCAGCCTTCCCACCCCCCCTGCACCCCACAAAGTAACCACAGTGAAATACCTCTGTATTTTTCCAGAAAAAAAATGCTTATATGTTTAATTTTAGAATTTACCCCTGGGGAGGGGGATTCACATCATTCTGAATTATTTTTTATCACAGTACTTACCACTTCCTAGTATTTTCTTATTTGTTGTCTCACACTATTAGAATATGTGCCCCATGAGAGGTGCGGTGTCTTTCTAGTTTGTTCACTGCTGAATTCTCAGAACCTGGAACAGTGCTAACAGGTGCTCAACATATTTTTTTAAACATTAAAAATTTTTTTTAATGTTTTATTTATTTCTGAGAGAGGGAGAGAGACAGCGTGAGCAGGGGAGGGTCAGAGAGAGAGGGAGACACAGAATCCGAAACAGGATCCAGGCTCTGAGCTGGCCGTCAGCACAGAGCCCGATGCGGGGCTCGAACCCACAAGCTGCGAGATCATGACCTGAGCTAAAGTCGGATGCTTAATCGACTAAGCCACCCAGGCGCCCCAACATTTATTTATTTTTGAGACAGAGAGAGACAGAGCACAGTGAGGGAAGGGCAGAGAGAGAGGGAGACACAGAACTCAAAGCAGGCTCCAGGTTCTGAGCTGTTAGCATAGAGCCCAAGGCAAGGTTCAAACTCAGAAACCATGAGATCATGACCCGAGCCAAAGTCAGATGCTTAATGGACTGAGCCACCCAGGAGCCCCTAACAAACTATCTTTTCAATGACAGCCATCTCCTTATCTCTTGGCTTTACCATTTCTGAATAAAAATACAACCTATATTAAAACAGCCACACCTGTATCTGCATTTCTTGAGTACCTACTATGTGCCAGACACAGTGCTGGGCCCAGAGGATATAGCGGGCAATGAGATAGACCTAGCTCTGCCTTCTGGGAGCTCATAATGTTACAAGGAAGACTGGCATTGAACAGATCTATACAAATAAACTAATCACCATTGAGACACATGCCAAGCCAGAAAAATACAGGGGAGCTATAAGGAGATAAAACAGGGGGAACAATTGATCCTGGGGGTGGCCTGGAAGGCTTCCTGGAAAAAGAGGCCTGAGGGGTAAGAGTCAGTGGGAGTCCCATAGGAGAGTCCCAGGCAGAAGCAACAACATGGGCAAAAGTTCCGAGGTGCACAGGAGCGTGTCTGGGGGTGGCCAGTGCGTCAGATGGAGTGCTGAGGCGGGCGGGGTCTGCGGGTTATGAAGATGTTGAACTTCTTTCTGAAGGGGGATGGAAGCCAAGGAGGAGCATAAGCAGAGGTGTGACCACACAGATTTATCACCGTAAAAGGATAGGGCACTTGTCAGAAAACAGAGACAGTCCAGCAGCGAGAGAGAGCAGGGAAGAAACATCCCGACCTCTCTCTCTCCTCCCGCCCCCTGACTCTGCGGCTGCCTCCCATTGGCTGATCGCCACCGGAAGTCATGGGCAAGGGAGCTTGGGTAATGCAGTGCACGGAGGTCAGCCTCCCAGGGCGCAGGAGCACAGAACCGGTGGGGTGGAGAGTCGCCAGCGCCAGTCCCTTGGGAATCAGATATAGGTTGGCGTCTCAGAGGTTTGGAGCCCTCCTTCAGGATCCCTGGCCCTGAGCGAGCACTGTGGGAGGAGCCGCGGAGGGACCCAGCCCTGCGTCATCAGGAGCACAGACTGTCCACAGGAAGACCTGGGCTTCAGTCCTTCTTGAGCTTTCCCGTGTGGTTTTAGGCAGGTCACTTAACCTTTCTGAGCCTCATTTTCCTTACCCATAGAGTGAGTAGTACAACTCTTCATCACTAATCTCCTCTCCTGAAATCCAAACTCCGAGGGCTCTGCATCACCCCTCTCCCCATAAGAACGAGGAAAGCATTTAGAGACAAGAGCTAGTCGGACATGAGGCTATTTACAGTCTTGATTTATTTCCATTAGGGGCCCCTGGGTGGCTCAGTCGGTTAAGCGTCCGACTTCGGCTCAGGTCATGATCTCACGTTCTTGGGTTTGAGCCTCGCGTCGTGCTCTGTGCTGACAGCTAGCTTAGAGCCTGGAGCCTGCTTCAGATTCTGTGTCTCCCTCTCTCTCTGACCCTCCCCTGCTCACACTGTCTCTCTCTCTCTCAAAAATAAATAAAACATTAAAAAAAAATTATTTCCATTAATGTCAAAATCCTACCTTTCCCTGCAGATTACTAATCGGCTTGATTAGGGGAAGTGCCCAAACCTGTCCCCAGGGTGAATTACAGAATATAAGCTATAGACGGTGGATCACCTTTCTGAAATCCCAAACTCTCTGAATTCTGAAGTACATCTGGCCCAAGGGTTTTGGATATGGGGCTGGGCATCTATAATGCCATGCCTTGGGGGTTGGGAAGATACAACGAATTAAGGAGTACTGAACACTGGGCACAGTGCCTGGAACACAGAATAGCTCTTGTTCCTATTCCAAGTAAACCACTTCACCTTTTCCCTCAGCCACTGGGAGCCTCTGGGATAGAAGAACATTGTGTGTTTTGTGTTCTATTGGCCATGAGATGGGACTGACATCCCTTTAAAAGACAATACACCCTAGGGAAGTTGAGGCCAGCCATGGAAGTGGTTTTCAAAATGCTTTTTTTTTAAAAAATTTTTTAAGGTTTTTATTTATTTCTAGGAGAGAGAGAGAGACAGCGTGAGCAGGGGAGGGTCAGAGAGAGAGGGAGATACAGACTCTGAAATAGGCTCCAGCCTCTGAGCTGCAGTCAGCACAGAGCCCGACGCAGGGCCCGAACCCACGAACCGCGAGATCATGACCTAAGCGAAAGTCGGACACTTAACCGAGTAAGCCACCCAGGCGCCCCTCAAAATGCTTTTTTAAGGGCATGTGACTGGCTCACTCAGTTAAGTGTTTGACCCTTGATTTTTGGCTCAGGTCATGATCTATCTCACAGTTGTGAGATCGAGCCTTGTGTCGGGCTCTGTCTCAACAGTGCAGAGCCTGCTTAGGGTTCGTTCTCTCTAACTCTCGCTCTGCCGCTACCCACGCACTCTCTCTTTCTCTCAAAATAAATAAACTTAAAAAAAAAAATACCCAAGTGGTGTTTTGGCAGCTAGGTTTTTTTCCCAAATTAGATCTACCATGAATTCTCCCAACATATCAAAGAGCATACTGTGGTGCAATAGCATATGTTTATTTTATAAGTTCATATTTGTACAGTAGAGCATGAACCACAGAGAACAATGAAGAGTTTTAACTGAACCCACTTTTGAAAATGGGGGTTTACAAAAGCCAGCCGCGGGCTTCTCTCCGCCAGCCTGTCCAATTCCCTTGGGAATTTTCACTCAGGATTCGTGGTGTGCCAGGCATGCCTTGATTCACAGATAACTGGCTTCAAATGGTAACAGTTTTGCCCAACTGTTTCCATCGCTCCGGAAACTCTTCCAGAAAACCTTGAGAAGCGGTAGGTTTGGTTTGGGGGCAGCACTGAACAACCACTCACGTGGCGGATCACAAATAACGTATGTTAGAGAGGAAACGCCTGAAACTCACAATAAGCACAAAGAACAGTCTTGACATGCAATAAGACGATAAGAAAGGTCACGCTGTCCCTTGTGACGCTACAATGATTGTGCCTTAATGGGAGAATGGCATGCAACAGACAAATGTGCCTGAGGTCCGTTTGTAGCATTTCTTCAGGTTCGGACTCCGAGGAAACAGTGAACACGGTCGTACAATACACTGGGCATGGCTGGAAACTCACAAGGGTGAAAAAGATCAATAGAAAACTACAAACTTCTAGACCATGGATGCACTTGGCAAGAAGATTAAATATATACATGGGGATGGCAGGAAAACCTTTATAGGGGCGCCTGGGTGGCTTAGTCGGTTAAGCGTCCGACTTTCGCTTAGGTCATGATCTCGCGGTTCGTGGGTTCTAGCCCCGCGTCGGGCTCTGTGCTGACTGCCAGCTCTGAGCCTGGAGCCTGTTTCAGTCTGTGACTCCCTCTCTCTCTGACCCTGCCCTGCTCACGCTGTCTCCCTCTCTCTCTCTCTCCTAGAAATAAATAAAACATTAAAAAAAAATTTAAATATATACATGGGGATGGCAGGAAAACCTTTACACACACACACAAAAGAGATGTCGATGGCACACAGTCAGCTTGGAGAGTTTACAGAAATCAGTCTTTCGGGTTTTAGGTTGTCAATGCAAGTGAATTCTAAAAATCCCTTTGGTCTTGACACTTGCTGGGAATGCAAGGACCTGAGAAGAATTTCTGACCGCCTGAGGGTGGGTCCTTCACCCCGCACCTTGGCCGCCAAGGTGAAGGGGTGGGTAGAGAGAGAATTTCCACCTTTGGCTCTGCTAAAGGGGCCACAGAGGATATATAGCCTCATAGAAATGAGAACAGAGGTTGGAGGCTGGAATTCACAGACACGAGTAATGCTCACCCCAGAAAGACCTTGGGGGTCTGGCTCCACTATTACAGTTCAGTGGGTAAGAATCTGAGCCTCTGTGTGTGTGTGTGTGTGTGTGTGTGTAAATTGCTTTAATTAAAAAAAAGAAATTCAACTCTAACCTTTGCCAATTCCTAAGCCAATGGAAGTTTGCAGCTTCACAGGGTCAGACGTCCCTGAGCTCTGTCTACCCACGGACATTTGGATGTCACCAGATTAATTTTGTTGTTGTTGTTTTCTTCCCCCTCACAGGGGACTCAAAGTTAATGTTGTTAATCGGTAACTTTTGAAGGTGACCTCTTTAATTATTTACCTCCTTTTGGACTATTTCCCGGAAGTCTTTGCCTTTTGCTCTGTAGAGGGGAGCGCCCCCTCTGTGCAAGTCAGAGCTTCTGGATTTGAATCTGGAGAGACCCATTTCCCAACCCCAGGTACCAATCAGAGCAGAAAAGTCCCCCGTCTGACCATCCCTGTAAGGGACACCGAGCAAGTACAGATCTCAGCCACAGCTTTTGAAAGTCAAGCGCCGGAGCACTGAGCTCCTCAGGTGTGAAAAACAGGCCCCTCCCTTGGTCAGGTATGGTTTCTACTTGCCACATGCAAAACAGGGTGCCCCACACTGGACAAGTTTGTGCCAGAGGTACATTCAAGGTACATCCTTTTAAAAGACAAAAAGAAAAAAAAAACACAAAAAAACACAAAAAAAATCGACAAAACCAACCAAAAACCCAAAACCAAACAAAACCCCTGAGAAACCAAAACCGGTCTAGGCTTTGCAATGGCAGGATTTCCAGCAGTGCTCAAAGCGAGAAGGTTCTGTGCCTCTTCCTGGCAACACATGCTTAGCAAAAGGGGCTGTTCCCCTCTTGGGTTGGGGGGGTGGTCACAGGGTGGCGATGATGGTGGGGAAGGAGATAGCGGCCTTTCTCCAGAGCAGGGATCTCTCTGACATGTTCCTCCTTCTTGGCTTTTCCTCAATTCTGGCAAGAGACCTCCTGGGAATCCTTGGAATCCCAGACCCTGTTTCTCTTCTTCCGTTTCCTGCAAACACCTGCTCTCCCAGGGAGGGAGGAGGGGTGGGCAGCCCGCGTTCTCCATGGAAACAGTCCAGTGTGCTTCTCGACTGGGACTGTGACCTCGCAACTCCTTCCTTGGGGTCTCCAGGTCGTTAGACGTGGTTTGAGGGTCTCTGAGACCCCTCTTCACCCAGAAGTTACCCTTGCCACTCAAAGGACACACGCACATACCCAGGTGTTATTCCCATACTTAGATGTTGGCCACAACTCCTCATATATTATGTTCATACTCAGATGCCACCCACATATTCAAATGCTACCACCCTTGCTCATAGAGTCAGGTAACTCAGGTGTTCCCCGCACCTACCCAGATACTTAATTCTGAGTGTCCCCAGGCCAAGGGTGGGGTGTTTGTTCCCTGCTGTAAGCCCGGTGCCTGGAACGGTGCCCGGCATACACCTTGGGTGCTAGAAAACATCTGTTGAGCGAATGAGTGGTCCATGCTCAACCAGATTACCTGCATCTACTCAAATGGTACCCACACCCCTTCAGATGCACCCCGGTAACTCAAATGCTCCCCAGTCTCTATGAGCACCTTGAAGGCAGTGGTCTGTGTGGGGTCTGCTCCCTGCTCCCAGCCTCTAGAACAGCGCCTGGGACATAGTAGGTGTGCAGCAAATATCTGTAGAATGAATGAATGGATGAATGAGCCACGCTCAACCGAACATTGACCGCATCACTCAGATGTAACGCACTAGTTAATCGCATAAGAATAGAGGTCCTCCTAGGGGCGCCTGGGTGGCTTAGTCGGTTAAGCGTCCGACTTTCACTCAGTTTATGATCTCACGGTTCGTGGGTTCGAGCCCCGCGTCGGGCTCTGTGCTGACTGCCAGCTCAGAGCCTGGAGCCTGTTTCAGTCTGTGACTCCCTCTCTCTCTGACCCTCCCTTGCTCACTCTGTCTCTCTCTCTCTCTCCTAGAAATAAATAAAAAAACATTAAAAAAAAATTAAAAAAAAGAACATATAAAAAAAAAAAGAATAGAGGTCCTCACCCTCCCCAGTCAGATGTCCCCCGTGCTCACTCAGGTGACACGCGTTCTTACTTGCAGCCACCCCCACATTTGAGTGATCTTCCCCATCCTTTGTATTATCCACATTCACGCAAATTCCCCAGACTAATTCCGAGGCTCCCCAGTCAGGACCCACACCCCCTCAGGCGACACCCACCTCACTCTGCTGCCCCCTCCACTCTCACCCCACCCTCCCACGCCCTCCCCACGTCACCTCACAGCTTGTCAGGCGCATGGTGCCGCCGCCGGTTCTTCTTATGCTTCTTCTTACCTCTCTTCTCATCCCCAGCCTTGCCGGGCTTCTCCGTGGCGTCCAGAGGCGGCCCTGCATCCGCACGGCGGCGGCCCCAGCCCCCCCGGCTTCGCCCCGGATCCCGGCGCACCGCACTTTCTGGCAGGTGGCTCTCTGGGGCCCGTCACTGTGGGACACAATTCCTGCCTCAGGACCCGGGCCACATCCTCCACGGTCCTGCCCTCGCTGTTCAGGAAGAGGTTCAGCTTGGTCAGGAATTCAATGTCCTGCCTCCGGGGCATGTAGACCACTCTCCACACGCCGCCCTTGGCCTTGATCTCCCTGGGGATGACGGCGTAATTGATGTCCTCCGCCAGCCTGATGATGGCTGCCTTGGACCGCTCTTCTTCCAGAAAGGCCTTCCCAGCCACCTCGAACTTGCCCAGAGGCTTCAGGGGGGCCCGTATGATGCCTTCGAACTCGTCGTGGTTGCAGTCTTCCCGGATGCCCAGGATCATCAGGGACCTGCAGCTGTCCACCTCCAGAGCCCGGCACCCGTGCTCTAGCAGCGCGATGTCCTTCGCCCCGGACAGCATCTGGCCCAGCCCCCGGAGGCAGCGGTAGGCCCGCTGGGCCCCCCCCCCCCCCGAGCTGCCTCGGGGGTCCGCGAGGCGCTCCAGGGTCCGCACTCCCTTCGCGGAGGCTGAGCGGGAGACAGGCCGCGAGGGGCCCGGGCTGTCCCCCGCGGTCGACGATGCCCCGGGCCCTGCCCACGGGGCCCCCGCGTCCGGCCTCCTGGCAGCCTCCGCCTGGCGAAGGCTCTGGGGGGCTCCCAGGGACCCGCAGAGGGAAGTGGAGGCGGCGTCCGCCAGCCGGTCCGGGCGATGGTCCGCCCCTGCCTTGGGGGTGATCTCCCAAGGTCTCCTGGGCCTGTCAGTCTCAGCGGATGTGGAGGGCGGGTGTCCCTGGGGCTGCTCCACGGGGGTGTCGTGGGGGGCAGGGGGGGCAGAAGGCCGCGTGGCTGCTCTGGCGCCCTGGGGCCCGGCTACGACAAGGATGTGGCCACGGGCACTTGCTCCCGCAGTGACGTCACCGCCTCCTTCCTCTGCGGCCCCAAGTCTCCATGGCAACCGCTAGAGCATCCCCTCTGCCATTGGACGGGGCCAGCCGCATTGAAATCCGAGTCCGAGGGGGTCATTCAGAGGTGAGAGGTCAGCCCCCCCCCCCCCCCCCCCCCGCCTGCTCTTTGGGGAGCCTGGCCGATTCCAGGGGAGAGGGGACAGTGCAGATGAAAGCTGAACCTGGAACATCTTTTCCGGGGGCAAGAAAATAAGGAAATGCTCGACGAATGATGAGAGCGGGTGGAAGGACTGGCCAAATAGGGGACAACGTGAGCACCAGGGCTCAAAAGGAGATCACAACCCCCTGATAACATCAGAATCCAGGAGTCTTGTGTAGACATAAAGACATGATTAAATGGAAAGTTTGGGGGAGGAGGCTGGGCTATACTTGTCTCATCTAAAACTTAGGGACCGGGGCACCTGGTGGCTCAGTGGGTTAAGTGTCCGACTTCGGCTCAGGTCATGATCTCATGGTTCGTGGGTTCAAGGCCCGCATCGGGCTCTGTGCTGACAGCTCAGAGCCTGGCGCCTGCTTGCGATTCTGTATCTTCTTCTTTCTCTGCCCCTCCTCTGCTCGTGCTCTGTCTCTCTCTTGCTCTCTCAAAAATAAATAAATATTAAAAAATAAATAAAACTGGGGTGCCTGGGTGGCTCAGCTGGTTAGGTGTCCGACTTCGGCTCAGGTCAGATCTCATGGTTGATGTGTTCAAGCCCCGCATCAGGCTCTGTGCTGACAGCTCAGAGCCTGGAGCCTGTTTCAGATTCTGTGTCTTCCTCTCTCTCTGCCCCTCCCCCACTCATGCTCTGTCTCTCTGTCTCAAAAATAAACAGGGGCGCCTGGGTGGCTTAGTCGGTTAAGCGTCCGACTTTCGCTTAGGTCATGATCTC